GCGAAGCAGCGCTGCGTGGGGTGCGGCCTCCCACACTGCTGGCCGCTGCGGTCACCTGTGCGAATGACGTACGTGCAGGTAAAGCCACGCTGCGCATACCACTCACGGGCGGCCTGAAGCGTCGGGGCGGGCTGCTGACTCTGCCCTCCGCCAGTGCCTCCACGACCACCACCCCCACCGCCTCCGCCCCGGCCACCTCCACCCCTGCCGCCACCACGACCACCTCCGCCCCCGCTGCCGCCTCCGCCCCTGCCACCACTCCCGCCGCTGCTGTCTCCTCCCCCACTGCCGCCACTGGCCTCCTCAGCCGCGCCTCCACTCCCACCGCCTCCACCCCCACCTCCTCCGCCGCCACCCCCACCCCTGCCTCCCTTGTTCCTGCGGCGCCCGCTCGAAGCAGACGCGGTCCCGACCTTCTCAGCACCAAGGAGGTCGACAGCAGCAGCAGAGGCGACAGAGGGGAGGAGGGGGGAAGGGGAACACCCCTCAAAGAACGGGGTGCGGGGGTCGCCACGAGAGGTGCCTACAGCGACGATACTCGCCTCAGCTGCAAGCAGTTCCTTCTCGAGGAGGGCAACAGTGAGCTCAGTGGGGGAGCGAGAGAGGAAATGGTCCCTGACTGCGCGTAGAGAGTCAGGGAGGCGAGTGACGATGTGGTAGAGAGTGATCCAGAGCGGGGGGGGGTTGCTAGTGAGAAACTCGGCAGGCATAGCAGCGCGAAAGCGGGCCTCACTAGTCTTAAGGTGGGTGATGAGGTCTGCGACAGTGTGAAAGGAGGCTAGGTCGGGGAACAGGTAGGGGAGAGTGAGGCGGCCTAGCGTGGCAGAAGCGGGTGAGGAGTAGCGGGCAACTACAGCTGTGTAGAGGTCCTTAGCAGTCTTGCACTGGCCGAAGTGCTCGCGCTCGTCTAGCGGCAGGGAGTTGCGAATAGCAAAGCAAGCGTGCGCATCACGGGTCTGCCACTGGGAACGCAGAGTGCTGTCAGCAGACGAGTCAGGGGCAGTGGCATGGCCTAGGGCGTGGTCGTACAGTGAGATATCTTCCTTGGCAGTGAGCTGTAGGAACAGGTGCAGGTCATCTAGCCAGGTTTCGAACTTCACTGGACGGCCCTCGGCATCGAAAGCTAGAACGGGAGGACTAGCCATAGCGACAGTAGCAGTAGCAGTAGTAATCAGGCCGCTGGAAAGGTGTGCGGAGGGTCAACGGGGCCGGCGGGGCCGCTAGGTAAGGCGCGGGCGGGGTCGACTGTCCGTAGTGGCACACGAGCGGCAGTAGTAGGTAGCGTGGCAGCAGGAGCTGCAACGGCGCACTGGTGGCAGCAGTGTGCGCGGTAGGTAGAAAATAAAAACTGTGAGAGTGAGTGCCTCGCGGGCGGCGGCTGCAGAAGCGCACAGGCGGCAGCGGCGCACGGGCAGCGGCGGCGCACTGGCAGCGGGAGCGTAGGGGCAGCGGCGGCGCACGAGCAGCGGCGGCGCTCGGGAGGCAGCGGTGCGCAAGCAGCAGCGGAAGCAGCGGCGTACGAGCGGCTGCGGGCAGCAAGGCGTGCGCGAGCAGGCGACGGGCGGCTGCGGGGCGTGCGCGAGCAGGCGACGGGCGGCTGCGGGGCGTGCGTGAGTAGGCGACGGGGCCGCGGGGCCGCGAAGTGGGGCGCGAGCGGTGCGCGGGCAGTGCGCGGGCGGTGCGCAGGCGGTGCGCAGGTTGCACGGGCTTAGCGCGGGCTGCGTAAGCGGTGCACGGGGCGGCAGCGGGCCTGAAGGGGCGATCGCGGGGCCGACTAGGTCGCTAAGGGGCGAGCGGCGGGTCGATCGCGGGGCCGACGGGGCCGTACGAGGCGGTGCGCGGGGCCGTAAGGGGCGGTGCGCGGGGCCGTAAGGGGCGGTGCGCGGGGCCGTAAGGGGCGAGCGCGGGTCGCTAGTGCTTAGGGGCCGAAAAAAAAGTCGAGGCGCCCTAGGTAGGTAGGTAGGTAGGTAGGGAGTTAGGTAGCGGTGGGCCCTTAAAAAAAACGGTCCTAGCGAAGGACCTGCTCTGAAACCATGTCGGAACAACAGACTGGAATGGTGAACTAGAAAGGACTGTGAGTACAAATATGAAACCCTAATGTTGTGACCCCCCTATAGGCTAACCCACTACAGCCTACTCAAATATAACATATACAATGTTTGACAACTTCACATCTACCAGCAATAGTTGGGTTGCCTGCTCTTTGTCTCAGTAGCCTGCAGATCGAATCTCTCCTATATTGTGAACCAGCTGGCTCAGCATTCATGCAAACCCATTGTTGGAAGTCTTTTTGACCTGTAGCGCGCTCTGCAATTCTTCCTCTCAACACACAACATGGGCTCAGCTATTCCACAGTCACAACTCCCTCGTTCAACCTCGTCATCTACGTGGATTCTGATCACGCCGCAACTTCTGACAACTGACGGTCGAGAAACAGGTTCCTCTTCCGACTCAAGCAGATATGTCCCATCTTATGGAATCACCAGAAGCAGGAGTTGGATCCCTTGTCATTGTCGGAAGCATTTGCGTCAGTAGCAGTTTGCGAAGGGCTATGCATACAGAAACTCATGCAAGAGGTGAAAATCCCAACTGCGCCGACCTTTTGCCAGCACTGCGACAACCAAAGAGCAACCGGGATCACAAACTAGATGTGACTTGTCAATCGCACCAAACACATCGCGTTGCGATATTTCTTTGTGAATGAAGAAGTCGACAAAGGCAAGGTCGACCTGACATATTGCCTGGCCGTTGGCATTCGATTGCCTTGTCAACAGTATCAGCAATGTGCCGACCGAGTGGCGTGGTCAAGCGAGTTAAGACTTGATACGGCCAGGAATTAAGGGGGGTGTTACGATAAGTGGAATGAGAAGTGAGATGCATTCCCACTAGTAGCAAGTAGGATATGTACTGGCATGTATGAATGCAAAGAATTATAGCCACTCGAGATGACGAGTACAGTTGGAAGCATCTGGACTGTTAGCTACAAAAGCATCGGGTGGTTGCATCACGAAAAATTTGGCAGGAACCGGTTCAAACTCGGTGTCCGCACCGCACGGTTGATTTTCGCTACAATAAGGGAATGTACCTCCTAGGGTAGATGGCTAGATAAGACGTTTCGTGTTCCTTTTGTTTTCCGATATGAACCAATGTATGCTTTTGTAATGATCACTTCAGTTATTCACATTCACTTTGATCCGATGTCATTTCCGCTGCATTAACTCTGTGCGAACAACATGAGGAGATCCTTGCACAATCAAACTTCTGATCGCAACAGAATGCAGTTCAAACACGTAGAACTGTTTTGAGCCACAAATTTAAAACATGATGACAACTTTGAGCTCATTTATTGCTTACATTGCGAGTTGTTTCAAGAAAATATTCCCTTTTGGCCCAGAAACAGGGTCATTAGTTGTGTACACAGAGTCCTCGCCAATTTCACGCCCCGTCATTTCTTCCTTAAAGCCAACCTTACCTTTTTTTGGCTATAGGGATCAGGCACCCACGAACTAGAGGCTATCCGAGGCATTGTAAAGTTTCGATGTTGCCGGGTCTGACGTTGAGACTGCAACGCAAAGACTGAGGCCCTGTTTGGCAGGCGCATGAGTACAGGCTTGGAAATGGGGTACACTAGAATGACCAATTGGAATGCTTCCGAGCTAAGCGGTTGATCGGCTATCAAGGCCCGGGATATGCGCATGAGCACCGAGGCGAAATGAGGCTGAATGACTGCCGAACGGTGTTTTTGGTCTCAGGTTTGGGAGCCGAGACCGAGTTCCTGGAACCATCCTCCCCTGGCAAACCGACGCACCACTCATGCGCGCATGATGCGTCGTGGAGAGGTAGCATCCATGCGCGCATGAGTGATGCGGGGCAGCATTGAAGATGGTGGAGGTTGCTCATTGGTAGGCAGTCAGGGAAGATGGTTCGATACTGGTCATTGTAATTTTTATCCATAACTAGCGAGCAGAGCAGCCCTGACAAACTTCCATCACCGAGCCTGCAACTGTTCCCCGCATTAAGGCACTGTATACGAAACCCAAACTTAACAATTAGGTACGTTACACCACTCCCGAACCAGCGCTCATTCCCGAGCCTAGATGCTCATGCGCCTGCCAAACAGGGCCTGAATATTCCGCTGACTCATGGGCGCAGTCCAAATCGTTGCTTTCCTTGAAGCCTAATATTTTGAAACAACCCTCGATTTAGGGTAAATTAAAAACGAATACACAGGGGGTTGAAATCGGCACTAGGGTACGTTCCTGGCCCGTGTCAAGCTTGGGGCCTTCCTGGGAAGGCCCGAAGCTTTGGGTCAAACTTCCTGTAAAACTTCAGGTCTTCCGGAAACAGGGGCAATTTCTGGCCGGAAGACCCGAAGTTGGTCTCGGATGGCCCAAAGTGGGTCCAACTTCCGGTCATCCGCGGATGACCGGAAGCTTGACACTAGCCAGGAACGTACCTCTAGTGAAGTTGGGAAGGACTTGGTGTACAATAAACAGGTCCCAATGCTGAAACAGGTATAGCCGCAAAGCGGTTAGGGCGTACATGACAATATCCCCAAAAACCACCCCCCCTGAATGTGCACCCTTGCACCGAAGTGAAACGCCCACATCCATCGACGGATGTCGGCAAATCCTGACTGTCGGGATCCTCGATCCGAGGGCTGAAATTTAACAACTCCCACACGGGCGTCGACCACGCCCTTCCACCTTCTCTCGCCTCACTCCCGCTACTGTATCCCCACTTCCCCACCAGCCACCTCAAGGCCTGCTGTCTCAAGAGTTCCTACAGGGTGGCGGCAATATCAGTGCATCAAGCCCCCATGGTTTTCCGTCCAGTCCCGTATCAATCTCTTCCAAAGAAACCACACCGCCTTGGGAATGCCGATGGCTGGGAGTTGTAACTCCTGTCCGAACAGCCTGTTCAGCCGTACCGTCCAGGCTGAGCCTACGTGCATTCGGGTTCCCCTCATTCCTGCAAGGACTGATCGCGAGAGTTTTACGATGAGTCGCGTCGCGATTCGTAACCACTGCTTCAAGAAACGTAGGTTCGTTTTGAGACGTCTCAAAGGAGTTTTGAGACGTCTCAAAACACGAAGATTCAAGCATGTCTGGCAAGCATTGCATGAGGAGGGTCGGCGTTCTGAGAGTCTCGTATTGTTAAAAAGCTGCTGCCTTCTGGACCTAAGAATAGCCGAGCGTTTCAAGGGTATCGGCGGAACTTTCGTGCTCTGAAGTGTGAGCATTATATCGTCAGCCATTGAAACACGTGGAAGGGTTCACGCACGAGCTATCATGATGAGTGCTGCTGCAGACGCAGCAGCAGCAGCAACAGCAGCAGCAACAGCAGCAGCAGCAGCACAGGAAGAAAGCGTCTTTCTTGGAGCTAAATCTTGATCTGCTCAGTAGCTCTCTCCCTCGCGAAAAGCACGAAGAAACAGTTCGCGAAAGCTGCAGAAACAACGTTAACAGCGGCTTGAGCAGCAGCAGCAGCAGCAGCAGCAGCAGCAGCAGCAGCAGCAGCAGCAGCAGCAGCAGCAGCAGCAGCAGCAGCAGCAGCAGCAGCAGCAGCAGCAGCAGCAGCAGCAGCAGCAGCAGCAGCAGCAGCAGCAGCAGCAGCAGCAGCAGCAGCAGCAGCAGCAGCAGCAGCAGCAGCAGCAGCAGCAGCAGCAGCAGCAGCAGCAGCAGCAGCAGCAGCAGCAGCAGCAGCAGCAGCAGCAGCAGCAGCAGCAGCAGCAGCAGCAGCAGCAGCAGCAGCAGCAGCAGCAGCAGCAGCAGCAGCAGCAGCAGCAGCAGCAGCAGCAGCAGCAGCAGCAGCAGCAGCAGCAGCAGCAGCAGCAGCAGCAGCAGCAGCAGCAGCAGCAGCAGCAGCAGCAGCAGCAGCAGCAGCAGCAGCAGCAGCAGCAGCAGCAGCAGCAGCAGCAGCAGCAGCAGCAGCAGCAGCAGCAGCAGCATTGATCGCTACGCCAGGAGCAAAAGATGCCGTAACCAATTTCGTTGCTGCGCTCGGATCAACTACCAGACTCGGAGTTCGTATTGATCGATCTGATACCGCGCTGGGAATCAGTCTACTGCCCTGCGCGGTTGTAGCCAAAGACCCAGCGCGCCAAGCAGCCGCGGAGAGGCTCCGCCCAGCCCCGCGGGGGCACCGCGGCCGCGGGTAGTCCGCCGCGGACGCCTTCACTTCCGCGAGCTGGGCGCACGAGAGCTTCCGCTCCCTATTTAACATGCTGTCAACCGACGGAGCGGAAGGAGCTTCCGCCGGTGGCGCGATTTCCAGCCCAAATGCAGCTGTCGCGGCGGCGGAGGCTCTCCCCGCGCCCAGCCCGCGCGGGCGCAGGAGCTCTTTCGCAAGTTCCGCGAGCAGGGCAGCGGGGAAGAGAACGACCCCTCCCCGCAGCCCTTCCGCGCGAACTCGGCGCGCGAGCGCGGATGCAGTAGACTTGAGGGGAGGCTTGTGGAGTGAGGGAATTACGACGGGGAAGAGTGACGGCAAAGTGAAGGGGGAACAGAACAAGGGGTGGGAGGAAGGGCTTTCGGTGAAGCAACAGCAGCAGCAGCAGCAGCTGCGGCCGTGGCAGAAAGAGCCGGTTCGAGGAAGCTTCGTGGATCAAATCACTGATGCCAGCCGCAGTCTTGGCGGGAAGGCGGATCCCCTGCTGTGCGCCGATGGAGGACCCAACCGCGCCAACCAATGGCAGTCCGCCAACCAGTGGCACTCCGCTAACCAATGGCACTCCGCTAACCAGTGGCACTCCGCTAACCAGTGGCACTCCGCTAACCAGTGGCACTCCGCCCACCAATGGCACTCCTCCATCGAGCGGTGCTCGCCCGGCTCGGCACAAGCTCTGTCGCCGCGCCTCGAGGTCTCTTCGCCTGTGCCTCGCACTCCCTCCTTCATCGAGCGGCGCTCGCCCCGCGCTGTTCCTTCGCCTGTGCCTCGCACTCCCTCCTCCATCGAGCGGTGCTTGCCCGGCTCGACGCAAGTGCTGTTGCCGCGTCACAAGGTTTCTTCGCCCGTCTCGGCACAAGTTCTGTCGCCGCGCCTTGAGGTCTCTTCGCCTGTGCCTCGCAGTCCCTCCTCCATCGAGCGGCGTTTGCCCGGCTCGACACAAGCTCTGTCGCCACGCCTCGACGTCCCTTCGCCCGGCACTCTTCTGTCGCCACGCCACAAGGCCTCTTCGCCTATACCTCGCCATCTCTCTGCCATCGAGCGGCGCTCGCCCGGTGCTCTTCTGTCGCCACGCCGCGAGGTCCCTTTGCCCAGCTTGGCACAAGCTCTGTCGCCACGCCTTGAGGTCTCCTTTTCTCCACACCTCGAGGTCTTCTATTCGCCTGTGCAGCGGCCTGGGGAAGGCAGCTGGCATGCAGCGGCCGTTGTGGAGGGAGCTAGCTGGGCGAGGAATGAGGCGAGGGAAGAGAGGAGGAAAGGGAGGACGGAAGGGAGGAAAAAGGAGGGGAGGGTACCGAAGAGTCCTCGGGGTGCGAAGGCGGAAAAGAAGAGCAAGGAGAAGGGGGTCAGGGAGGAGAGGGGAAACAGGCAGGGCAGGGAAGACAGGCGGGCGAGGGGAGAGGGGAGAGGTGGAGGGGGTGCAGGAGCGAAGGAGAGAGGGTTGGAGGGACTGAGAGAGTATAGGAGGGATGAGGGAAGAGAGGAGGGGAAGGAAGAAGGGGCGGAAGGGATGAGGGACGAAGGGGCAGAGAGAACACACCAGAGCATCATGCTCTCTCCTCCCTCCCACCATGCTTCGCACCCCGGATCCTCCCACCCTTGGGCTCTATACCCTGAAACTCCCCACCTTGGGTCTTCACACACTAACCTGTCGAGTCATGATTTGACCGACCCCTCATTCCCTCACTCACACTACCCTCACTCCCTTTCTCCACCACTCGCAGGTTCTCCCCACTCCCCAACCGCACACCTTCCCTCCTCTCTCCACTCCCAAACCCTCCCTTTCTGCGCTCAATTCCCCCATTCGCAGTCCTGTCCAGATCTCCCCCCCTTCTCCTTCCCGCTCTCCCCAGCGCATCCCTCTGAGATGCTGCAGGAAGTGTGGGAGGCAGAGGGGGCATGTTATAGCGGGGATTCCCAGGGGGACCTGTATGGGCTGGTGACTGCTGATGACGAAGACTTGCACGAATCTTGGCCTGCTGCTGCTGCTGGGGGTAGCACAGCTCCCCATGAGACTATGCCTGCTGCTCTTGGGGTTAGTGAGGGGCGAGGAGGGGTAGGGGCTGGTAAGTGCGCAGGGGAGACCCTGGGAGATGCGACAGGGAGAATGGTGATTGCCAGAGATGGGAGGGTGGGGAGGCTTGGAAGAGAAGAACGAAGAGAGGAGAAGGATGAGGAAGAGGAGGACGGGGATGAGGAAGAGGAGGATGGGAATGATGCTTTACCCGTGTGTAGGCCTGTGGGGAGTGATGTGTCGAGGAGTGGGGTGACTGATTACCGGAAGCAGCAGCAGCAGCAGATTCAGCACCCACAGATACAACAGGTGCAGCAGCAGCTGCTACATCTGCAGCAGCAGCTGCTGCAGCTGCAACAGCAACACAGTGTGCAACCCGTGCAGCAGCAGCAGCAGCAGCAGCAGCAGCAGCATACTGCTCAGTATGTTGTTCCTTCCATGATTGAAGGTCCTTTCAACTTCAGTGTGAATACAACCACAGATGCTTCTACCGCTGCTGCCCTCCATCCCTCAACAAATGCTCCCCCCCGCCCTCCCTCCATCATTTTCCACCCTCCCCTGGTCAGTCCTAGGAGCAGCAATAAACCCTCTATGCATCCTCCAAATCCCCACTTCCACTACCCTACCGATGCCTCCTCCTCCTCTTCCTCCTCCTCTTCCTCCTCCTCTTCCTCCTCCTCTTCCTCCTCCTCCTCCTCCTCTTCCTCCTCTTCCTCCTCCTCTTCCTTCTCCCTCCCTTCTCCTTCTGCATCCCTCCCTACCCCCTCCCCCTCCTCCACCTCTCCTCACCCTCCTCGCCCCTTCCGGCCGCGTCTCTCCATTGTTCCTCCTACCCTCTGCACCGAACCCAACTCCTCTCCATCTTCCCCCTCCTCCACCACCTCAACTGATGCTGCAGCCGTCACCAGCCCAACTCCCCCTCCTGCCACTGCATCACCAGAATCTTCCATAGGGGTGGATAAACCCCCAGGGAAAACCTTCAGCAGCACTAGCAGCAGCACTTTTGAGACGTCTCAAAAGCCAACTCCCCCTCCTGTCTCTGCATCACCAGAATCTTCCATAGGGTTGGATAAAACTCTACGGCAAACCATCGCTTTTGAGAGTTCTCAAAAGCGACAACTGGGGCAAATCGTCAGCAGCAGTAGCAGCAGCACTAACAGAGTTAGGGTTTCTCGCTCGGATTCCAAGAGCCCGAGGCTTGAGGGACCTCAGAGCTCCATCAGGGCTTCTCGCTCTGATTTCAAGAGCCCAAGGCCTAGCAGAAGGAGCGGCAGCAGCAGTACCAGCGCCACTACTGCCACCGCCAACCCCGACACCACAAGCAGCAGCACCAGCAGCAGTAGCAGCAGCGGCGGCGGCGGCGGCGGCAGCAGCAGCAGCGGCGGCAGCGGCAGCAGCAGCAGCAGCGGCGGCAGCGGCGGCGGCAAAGTCGAAAGAGGGCCAAGTGGGGTCGAGGCACCGAGCAGCACACCTGTGAAATCCTCTGGTGCTTTGAAGTCACCCTCCTCTCTGGTTGTGAAGCGCGTGTGGGTGATTGGTGCAAATGCCATACCAGTTGAGTATGTCCCCTGCGACGAGCCCCCTCCTCCTCCTCCTCCTCCTCCTCCTCCTCCTCCTCCTCCTCCTCCTCCTCCTCCTCCTCCTCCTCCTCCTTGCCTTCTCGCTCCCCACTCTCCCCTCCTTGGCGCTCCCATTTCTTCCCCCCCTGGCGCTCCCCTTTCTCTCCCCCCTGGCGCTCCCCTTTCTCCCCCCATTTGCGCTCCTCTTTCTCTCCCCCCTGGCGCTCCCCTTTCTCCAAGCTCTGGCGCTCCCCTTTCCCCCACTGTTGGGTCCCTCCATTCGCCCCATCCTTCCCTCTCTCCGCCCATTGGGGCCAGCCTCCATGCTGCTCGCGCCTCGCCACGTGGCAGCAGAGGATTGGCCGTGGATGTACCGGCTTGTGAAATCCTAGAGAATGATCTGCCTGTCACGCCTAGGACGCCCAGGACAGGTACACCCAAGGGAGGTACACCCAAGGGAGGTACACCCAAGGGAGGTACACCCAAGGGAGGTACACCCAATGTAGGTATACCGAAAGAAGGCACACCCAGGGTAGGCACACCTAGGGCATGTCCGCCCCTTTCAGGCTCAACCACTCCTCGAAGCAGTGCTGCTGCCTCTGTGGTAGCTGCTGCCTGTGCTGCTTCCGCTTCTGCTTCTGCTGGATCTGCTGCTTCTGCTGCTTCCACGAGAGGGGCCTCAATTCCTAGAGCGAGGAGCCAAGGGTCTAGATCCTTTAAAGCGTCTGACTCGTTTAGGGTAAGAGATGGTACAGGACAGCAGCAGCAGGCTCATAATGTTAAGTCAGGGGAGTTTACAGCGGCGTGGGTAGAAGAAAAGGAAAAGGAAAGCGAGAGGGAGAAAGGGAGACGAAGCGAGAGGGTAAAGGGGAAAGAGCAGGAGAGGGAGGAGGGAGAGAAGGAGGAGGAGGAGGAGGAGGAGGAGGAGGAGGAGGAAGAGGATGAGAAGAAAGGGAAGGAGAAGAAAGAGGAGGAGGAGGAGTCTAAGGGGACAGAGAAAGGAAGGCAGGGCGAAAGTATGAATCAGCAGCAGCGAAGCCTGACGGCGGCAGTATCAAACCTTGGCCGGCCACCCCTGTCCCCTAGAAACCCTAAACCCGGGCAGCTGTGGTCTCAGTCTCAGCTGAATGATCGCTCCCGCATGCGAAAGGGGTCAGCCAACAGAAGCATGGATGCTATTGAGCTGACTTTTGAGTCGGCTCAAAAGTCAGATCCCTCCCGCGTGCGAGCGCGGTCAACCAACAGAAGCATGGACGCCATTGCATTCCCGCCCTTCGCTCTCCCTCCTACTGACACGAGTCCCCCGCTGGTTGCTGTTTCCCCTCGGCGTCTTTCCCGTCCGCCTGTTTCCCCCCGTCCTGCCCCTGCCCCTGCCCCTGCCCCTGCCCCTGCCCCTAACGCTGCCGCTGCCGACCAGTCTGTGGCAACCCTGTTTCGAGCATCTCACGCCCCTTCTTTTGCCACCGCCCAAGCGAGCGCTGCTGCGGGTCTGAGTAGCAGCAGCAGTAGCAGCAGCAGCAACGGCAGCGGCAGCAGTGGCAGCAGCGGCAGCGGGGGCAGCGGCGGCAGCGGCGGCAGCGGCGGCAGCGGCAGCAGTGGCAGCAGTGGCAGCAGTGGCAGCAGTGACAGGAGGCTCGTATGTTCTGCTTCCTCTCGAAGCCTGAAGCACGCAGGCAGCTTTGGCGCCAGAGAGAATGGTAATGCTGGGTGCAGCGTGAAAGAAGGTTCCAGTAGCAGTGGCAGCAGCAGTGGCAGCGGCAGGATGCTCATATCTTCTGCTTCCTCTCGAAGCCTGAAGCACACAGGCAGCTTTGGCGCCAGAGGCGATGGTGGTGCTGCTGGGCGCAGTGCTTTTGAGGCGCCTCAAAACTCGGCTGCTTCCGCTCGAAGCCTGAAGCACGCAGGCAGCTTTGGCGCCAGAGAGAATGGTAATGCTGGGTGCAGCGTGAAAGATGGTTCCAGTAGCAGCGGCAGCAGCAGTGGCACCAGCAGGGGCACCAGCAGTGGCACCAGCAGTGGCAGTGGCAGGAGGCTCGTATCTTCTGCTTCCTCTCGAAGCCTGAAGCACGCAGGCAGCTTTGGCGCCAGAGAGAATAGTAGAGCTGGGTGCACTGTTGAAGAAGGTTCCAGGAAGGATATTAGAATGGCTGCTGCTACTGCTGGTGCTGCTGGTGCTTTCCCTGCTGTTGCTGCTACTGCTGCTGCTGCTGCTGGTGCTGGTGCTGGTGCGGCCACAACCCCTAGGGGCCATAGGCGAGCCAAATCAGCAATGGATTTTGGGGTGGTTGACCATACGGAAGCAATTAAGGGGAGTAGGCGAGCCAAATCAGCAGTTTCTTTTGGGATGGCTGGCCAAATGGAAGCGGTTGAAGAGAGAGGAGGGGAGAACGGGCGGGAGAAAGGTGGGGGAAGTTGGGGGGAAAGGGGGAGGGAGAGGGAGAGGGAGAGGGAGAGGGAGAGGGAGAGGGAGAGGGAGAGGAGAAAGAGCGGGAGAGGTATGACTCGAAACGGAGGGTTGTGAAAGAGTGGGTGTCACGGCTGGTTCCCTTGAAAGGCTGGGATGACGGGGATGAGGGGGACGAGGGGGATGAGGGGAATGAGGGTGATGAGGGGGATGGTGGGGACGGGGAGAGAGGGGTGGTAGTGCAGGTGAGGCATGTTGGTGAGAAGGCCTTGAGCAGAAGCCCCAGAACTCCTGGTAAAAGCCCCAGAACTCCTGGCAAAAGCCCCAGAACTCCTGGTAAAAGCTCCAGAACTCC